GAACCTCGAGTCGTACAGGATTGTCCTTCTGTCGAGTATGCACGGGCTTTAGTATCTTCGATATTTTAAGCCCTTCCGTCACCTTCATTTATAGACGCCGGTATTTACTTGTGGTAAATCCTAGATGTGTCCATATAAGTCTAAGATTTATATATACCAATGAATGCCTATAGAGAAAGCAGTCTCTCGCGGATCTGGCACGGACCAATCTTAGAAGCATGAGTTCCCTTGAAGCAGATATAACCCAGTCTGATCAGCCACGGACCCAGTATGCTGTCTTGAAGTAGCGCTGCGCTCTCAGGACATCATTCCTGTAAGGCTTCAGCTATATACGGCGGGAAATCGCGACCAATTCAATGAGCACCGACTTGTACTTAAACTCCCCTGATAAGTTAGCCTTTGTATCGACAAAGCATAAAGTAGTACCGGCTATTCCGTACTGTAGGGAATGTTCATAGAGGTATTAAGATGATCACTGCGTTCTACTCACTTGACTATATATATATCAAATAGCAGTAAACCTTTTTCTTTATTCTTTTTCCTTCTTTGTTTCCCCCCTTCCTTTCCTTCTGTTTTTTTTTTCTTGGGGGCTACTACTTCATTCTGATCTTTGAATGGGAGGGATTGGCCGTCTACCGAACGCCTACAGTACAGAAGGATAGCCGACCGGTGAAAGCCACTGTCAAAGTTATTCAACCGTGAGTAGGTTGAACATCAGAATCCCTCCTGATACTAGGGTTTCAGCCTTAAGCAGCAATTATGTACTCCGTATTATGTATTATGTGGTCCAATGTCAAGCTTTAGTACGGGCGGGATTGGAAAGGTTCAAGAGGAGAAGAGAGAAAAGGAAAGGAAGACAGGTCATTGGCGGGAACTCCGAGGGCTTCGAACTGGCTTCGGACAAACTCGCTCGCCGCGCTGCAACTTGGTTGAGTTAATCCGATTCCGTTGCTTACCCCTGGACCCTCAGAATCAAGACCTCTGGCGAATCTAGCAGCGAACGCCGGGGTTTAAATCAACAACGTGCAGTTCATCATCAGATTGACCTATGCCACTCACTGCAGTTCACTTTTGCCGCACTGCTGTCTCAATGCCTGTCAACCTGGCACTTGGACAAGGCAGCGATTTCTGACTTGCCACAAGGCGGGTGGAGCTGGCTGTAGAACAATCCTTGCTACTATCCATCGACTACAGAAATTCACACTTGCTATATCATCCTAGTATAGTGTAACTAGTGACCGTGGCGGTAACTATTTATCCCGTACTGCCATCACCATACGTCGTGCTGGTAGTCCCTTTCTCTATAGTAATAGGTACTTTATATCATTATCTCGCCATACTCATTCAACACCATTATTGCATCCCAACTACTTTTGTCAGTAGGGATATTCATTACCATGCCGCCACCTAAACCCCGCCAGATTAAAAGGCCCCGATTATCATTGAGTTGCATTGTCTGCCGTCGTCGCAAAGTTCGCTGCGGCCGCGAACATCCGCAATGCGTCAACTGTGTCCGGATGAAGGAGAATTGTGTCTACGAGAATCTGGTCCGCGATAAGTTTACCGGTCGTGTACGCCGAGTGTCTCCTCCTGTGCCCCAGGGTGAGAATTCCATTGAACAGGAATCCATTGCCAATCATTCGGAGGAGCGAACAGGAAGTTCTACCTGGTCACACTGCGTGTCACAAGACTCTGGAAAGGTGATAGATCTCAGCGATGAGGCTCCCCTTCCGCGTGGCACCGTTTCTTCCACTGCTCCTCCTCCTCACACACACCCTACCGAACCCATATGCGATGTTAGATCTGTTCCTCATCAACGCCTTTCTTCCTCCATACTCACCCCAGCACCACGATCAAGCCAACAGGAGGTTGATTTGCAATATCCGACAATGCCTTCCTCGGAAGAGGCCATCCAGCTGCCCGAGGACCATCAGGCCTTTGCTAGGGCAGGAAGGAGCAGGACGCCAAGTGCCTCCCAAGATGCCATCACTGCGGTGTCAGCATCCGCTACAGCGCCCAGTGCCTCTAACAATCACCACTATCTTGTTAGTCTTGACTATCTGAGTGTACGACGGGGCGCACGTGCACGGTACATTGGTCAAGCATTTTGGGGATTTGTGGCAGGGAAAGTTAGTACTGCCCAGCGATGTAAGCGGAAATCCGGCGGACAAGCATGAACTGACCTTGATTGTTGTGCTACCGGCAGGAATCTATGAGTGATGATTTCTTTGACTGCAATCGTGATGCTTCACCGGAACGGCCCCTCAAACATATATCCTCCTTGGGGATGTTCAGTTTACTACGGTCCCTACCTACGAAGCCCGTGAGCGATACCTTCCTCGATGCATTCTTCTTCGCGGTGTGGCCTCTTTTCCCTCTGGTGCATAGCCCAACCCTACGGGCGGACTACGACAGATTCTGGGATTGGTGCCGCAATAGCGATAGGGCGCTTCCCCCAGAAAAAGTCCGCGATGACCCAACCTTTCTCTGCCTTCTCTTTGCCATCCTGTATTCTGGCGCGTGCGCTGCACCACCGGCCAGCTGGACATGCGCCAGTCTGCAGAGTTTGCGGAGGGAAACGACGATAGCCCACTTGAAGTCGGCCTATACGACAAGCATGTCTCTATGCCAGCATCTCGAGCATCCAACATTGAACACGCTAGTGTCTACGCTGCTGACTGCACCATTCTTGGACCGACATGTTGAGCCAATGCGCAATATGGTCTCTATCAGCACAACAATTCGCATTGCCCAGAGCATGGGATTGCATATGGAAGGATCTTGGTCATCCTCATTGAGCCCCGTTGATCAGGAAATCCGTCGTCGGGTATGGTGGTATATTATTGGGCTTGACGTCCAGTCTAGCATATGCACAGGCCTACCCCCTTGTTGCGCTCCCGAGACGCTGGACATCGTCAGCATGATAGCTGATACACGCGATGAAGATATTAGTGACAAGTCTAGTCATTTTTCCCCGGATCTAGTCCCCGGTCCAGCGGAACAGTCCATAGCCGTTATACTCGCCCTAGCGCGATCTGTAACAGCGCGTGTGCAGTCAAAGATCGTTTCGCGCCTGCAAAATGGACGACACCTAACCCAGACCGAATTTACTGAACTTGTGATGCTGGTGAAAGGTCTTCAACAGAAGATCGATAAACTTATTGCCCGTGTTCCCTCACAAGGGATTCCTGAAAAGGGATTCATTCCCTCCCGGCTAGCCAAAGCATCTCCGATCACACACCGAACACTTTATAAAGATGATGGCACTCATCCTACTGTTTTCGCGGCTTGGACAAGAATAATGCTGATATTGATCAAATTTGAGACAGCTGTAATTCTACAAAAGCCGTTCTTACCTGCCCCGGACAGTGCGGATCCGGAATCATGCAGGGCATGGACCAGGTATGATTCCCTGATATCATTACGATCTGGTCCGACAGTTGTATTGACAATCAATGTATCTCCAGTGTAGCACACCTCTGCGTGAGCTACTTGCGTATGTTCCTGCAGCTCTATCAAACCCCTGCCTACTCCCCTTACGTATGGTTTTGCTACCGATATCACGGCCCTCTTCAATGTGTGTTTCTTATCCTCGTCTACCTACATTGCTTTCCGGAATCAGGAGACATCGTGCTGGCTCGATATTGCATCGAAGAAATTATCGACCACACTGTTTCATACTACCAAGATCCGCAAGGTTCGTCCGGAGTACCTCGTGCGGACAACCCGGACTGTGGTGAGGGTTCATCAGAGGCGCGAATTCCTCTCGCTATACAGGTTCTCGTTGACCTTAAGAGTCGTCTGGATTCACAAATGAAATCCGATACCCGATTCATTGACAAGCTGGACGAAAACAAATGTCGGCTTTCCCCATACGCCCTTGAACCTGAAAGTCGGAGTACTGAGAAGGACACAGTGAACAAGAGCATCTTTCCTCTGCCATATTCATCGTTTTCGTCACCCACAATCCACATCCATTGCAATGAAAGGGCCCCGTCTACGGCTACTGCACCCCAAACGCCTTCTGGCACCAGGCCTGGACCAACGAGTAGCATATTTGTCGCAGAAGACGACAATGGCTTGGACCTGGACGTTCTTACCAGTCTCACTGATTTCGAGTCATGGTCATCCTCGTTGGCTAGACCCAAATGATACCCTAGCACATCCGAACACAATCGCTCCACACCGTTTAATTGTGCTAGGAGTGGAAGTATCTCACAGTCGTCCCCTCTAGATATGAAGATACTGCTTAGCTGGTTAGTAATATCATGTTGATCACCTTACAATTACCCCGCACTTAATTTTTTAAATCCTTGATCTCTCTTTTTCCTTGCGCCACAACGGCGAAACTGAAGCTACCACGCCAATGGAATGAAGAATACAAAGCATTAAGTCAACGTTCCGCTATCATACCTGCGATGTGAAGATTAAGCAATGGGACCTTGTGAGCTGGAATGATGTCTGGAAGTACTGATGGATATGAATGTCATACTAGCAGATGTAGCTTTGGAGAATGCCATGCTGACAGAGCAAGGAAAGATCTAGCTACTTCGCATTCGTCATATATTGGACAGATAATAAATTGATACAAAAGGTCCAAGCCTTGATATTGGCAGAAGAAACAACGCTATTGACCCCATGCATATTCTAGCGTCAGTTACTGCAAATCAACCCAACGAACCTTCAACCCCATTGCATAAATCGACCGATCATCGTTTGCTAAAGATATGAAAGCGAAAGAAATTTCAACGCAGCGACTGGAACGGGATATCTTGACGGGAGCCTCTAGATTGGTCGCTTGAATAGCTGCTTACGTTTCACGTCGGGTTAGACCTTCTCTCCTTATGTTGTCACCCGTTACTTCAAGCATCTGCCAGGCAACTCCTACAGCAGCAAAGCTGCACCGAGGAAATGAAGAAGTAGTCATAACCTCAGGTGAATACGAGCAGGCTCATAGAAGCGGTTTCAGTGAATGCTCGCACGAGTGTGGTGTGAAACGCCTATGGAGTCGCATATTGAGAGAGAATGTCGGATTCGGCCCGGGCAAATTCTCTAAGAACTGTATCTGTATGAGTAGCTAATCGCGGCGCAACAATGCATTTATATAGTCGCGGGCAGACAAGGAAACCTTCGGTGTAGCCGGTGGTCGGGTCTGTGTCCATGGGGATGGGATTGCCCTTTTATTCCTGCGCCGGCTCGAAATTGAATTCCCAAAGAAGCCTTGCAGCACCAAGGAACATGCTACGTTCGGACAGATGGATCCCTGGACACAGACGTCGTCCGGCACCGTAGACATAATGGTCACGCTGCATGTACTCGGAAGAAGCGGCATAGTCAAATGCCAGCTTATGCCGGCCCTCAAACTGCGAAGGGTCAAACTGGTCGGGGTTTGGAAAGACATTTTCGTCATGATGTAAGCCCCAGACGTTCAGAAAGACGGCGGTTCCCTTTGGGAGGAAGTAGTCATTCACCCAGTCATCCTTGCTGAGAGCGTGTGGAAAGGCCAAGGGTGTGACGGGTCGCCAGCGCATTGTTTCTTTGACAACCATGTTAATGTAAGGCAGACGAGGAAAGTCCTCCCAGGTTGGTGATCGGTATTCTCCACAGACTGCATCGAGCTCAGCTTGTGCTCGCGTTTGAATCTCAGGATGGAGCGTCAACGCCTGGATCATGACCAGAAGCATTGTGGAACCGGTATCCGAGCCTCCCTCCATCATAACACCACCCAAGAAGTCGACCTGGTTATCCGTAAGACCAAGCTTCTCCTGCAGATCAAGGACGTCGTCGAGGAAGCTGCGGGCTCGATACTGGGAGGCGCTCTCTGCTCTACGACGCCCCTCGATGGCCCGTCGGTGGAACGAACTATACAGCCGCTTCATACCACGTGCCACAGCCTGTGAGCGATCAACCCAGTGGCCGAGCCACTGCTGTGGTACCCAATGCAGCCAAGGAAGAATGTCCACTGGTGGGGTAGCACCTGTCTCCATGATTTGGGACCAAAGCTCCATTATCTCATATAGGTCTTGCATATGTGGTGTGTCCCAAGACGGAGTACGAATACCGAAAAGCAAACTCATTATAATGCTATTAGTTGTGCGCTTCGTATGCAACATATGCTTCCCGGGATGTAGGAGAAAGTCGCGCATCATCTGTGTATGCTCGGCCTCCATCAGGCGGACATGCGTCTTTTCGCACATGGAAGCCGAGAAATGCTGATTTATGGTTTTGCGGAATAGACGCCAATTGTCGCTATAGTCCATGACTAGGAGATGGTCACCACCAGTGATGATGTTTTGTCCAACATGTGAGGTTGGACGTGAACTGTACAGCGCGCTCCGTTTGTCGAAGAGCTCCTTGACCAGAGCACGATCCGTAACCACTGCGGCTGTCGCTGGACCAATATGGAAGCTGTATAGGCCTCCATATGTCTTGGCCCACTCTGTGAATCTGTTCCTATCAGATACCGCTTTGCCTTTTCCAAAATTGATACTTACTTGAGATGCGCGCGAATTTTGGGTAATTGGGGAATGTTCCCAATGAACGGGGCACCGGGGGGACCTGTCCCATATTAGACTCTTGTACGTGTGTATATTATGATTGCTATTATCAGGGTTTATAGAATGGTGGTAGGACTTCCACATATGTCAGCACATACCAGGCGGTAGTTTTCGCTGTATTCTCCAACTATTGAAGGTGGCGCGGAGAACTACCAGCAAAAGCGCACATGTGGCTAATGCAGTCAGATGAACAAGCGCCATTCTGCTGAAGAATAACTAAGCATTGATTCAACAAGTTTAAATGTCTGCTCGTCACTGCTGAGGTGAAATGAAAGGGATAACAATAAGTGGGCGGGGGGCGGTTATCTGTGCCTATTACCAGCCCGTTCGATCGGCCAAGAAAAAAGAAGGAAAAGACAATAGGTAGACAATTAGAAAAAGCAATATAATGATTCACAAACAGAGATTACGTTTAGCTATTAAGTAATCACTATACGAAAACAGAACAGTAGTGCAGACTAGAGATTGGACAAACCAATGGGAAGCAATAAGCAGACCGAAAAAAGACATCAATCTTGTTCTTCGCGACACGTCAGAAGTCAGTGGGCATTCGGAATCGCGAAAAAGGTTTCAGGGCCAAACCTCCTGCAATGGCCTTTGGCACCTCCCCGTCATTAGTCGAGATCACATCCATCATCCGCAGGTATTTGTTGATGGTAGCCATCGATGCACAGGGAAAATCACCGCCGTATAAGACATGTCCTCTCTTCGCAAACCCGTCTCTCCTTCACCAGTGACTGCATGTTCCATTCATTGCCACAACATCATATCAAATAGAAGCTTCTTGCTTACTCGTTAAGTTTCCGGGTTACATTATTCAATCTAGCTTCAAAGAGAAGATTTGCTGCGCGTGTCACAAGGATAGACAATGTTCCGCCGCGATAATGAACATTACAGTACCACTCGTACTGGTCGGCGAATGGCAGAGACACGGGAAGATACAAAAACCACGGCAACTGTCGTGGGGAAGAAAGAAACAAGAAGAGGCTCCAAGGAGGCAAAGTGGTATCAAAAGGGTTTCCAACAAGCAGCAGCAACATGGTGCGACGTCGTGGAATGTTAACCAGTTCAGTCTAGTGAAACTGGGGAGGAAGAGTGGTCAACTTGCTCAGTTCGGTGACTGTTTCTTCCCAAAGCTTGGTTTGAATCTCCTGACCCATTGGAGAGGTAACGATTGCAGGTTTACTGAAAGATAATTAAAATCAGGTGGTGGAGCCAATGGTAACTAAGCAGAAGCAGTACTTACTCGGTGATGACCTTATCCGCCAGAAACTTCCCATGGGACTCTGGGCCTGCTACGAGCGCAGCGTTCAGGATAACCCAACCCCCTACCTCAACGGGTCGGGCGCGAATAGCCTTGATGACGTTGATAATCAAGCGCAGGTGCAGTGGAAGCATGTTACTCATCCCAGTGTTTACCATACCCGGACACATCATATTAATGATGACCTTTTTGGGGTCCAGGCGCGGAGCCAAGCTGTACATGAACAGCACACAGAGTAACTTAGTGTCACTATACCGTTGAAAAGGAGCAAAGGCTTCTTTCTTGTCCATATGCTCCAAAACCCCCTCGTCGGCTTCAATGGGGGCCTTTTTCTCGAAACTGGGTGACTCGTGCGAGCGACTGCCTACCCAGCTGATCCGGGCAGGGGAGCCGGTCTGCTCCGCACCGGCTTCCAGGTGAGGAAGAAGCTCGGCAACCAGCAGCACGTTAGAGCAGTAGTTCACCTGCGTCACCCTCTCGTGGCCACTTGGGCTAGGTTCGAAGTTTAAAGAAGCAACTCCCGCATTCAGGATGAGGAGATCAACCACCGGAACCTCTTCGCGGAGAGTTTTAGCGAATTGCTGCACGCTATCATAGCGATCCATGTCAAGCTCCATAACCTTGATTGTGGGCTTGGGGTTGTCGGTTTGAATGCCGCGGTCCTGCAGCAACGATTCGATGCAGGCCTCGCCTTTGGAGACATTGCGCACGGCGAGGATGGCGGTGGAGAGGCGCAAGCGCAAAAGCTGCTTGGTGACTTCAAGACCCAGACCTGCACTGGCACCAGTGATAACTGCGGTCTTGCCAGTAAGGTCAATTCCCGTAGGCAAGGGATCGATCTTTGGCTGTGGCTGAAAGAACTTGACCATCGTGGTTGTAGTGACGGCCGGTAGTAGCCCTAGGACGGATACAAGATAATAATTGGATGCAACGAGCAAAGAATATATGGTAAAGCCGAAAGCGAGATTACACGAGAACAATTGGAAGAAGAGGAACCACCAAAAAGATAGATTTTAAATAGACAAAAGGATATCACAGCTGCCCCCGAAAGGAGACCCAGCTGGGACTGAAGATTGTTAATATCGCTGACAGAATCACCAATTACATGTCACGCTCTCCCTTGTTTACCTGGGTTGGCACTGCAGGGCTGACAAACTATAGCTGAGTCAGCTATGCATGACTCAGCATTCGGCCGACGAATGTCCCAAAACGGCAAAGTGATACGGGCTCATCTGGATCTCTTCCGACGATCGGTTTGTCATTTCGCTTTACAGTACAGTTCGAGTTCGACCCAACTCGGCCCAATAGGGACAAAAGGAATGATATGGGTTCCATTTGCTTCATCACATCCTCGCATTCTGACGGGTGACACTGCATTTCGACCTATCCTCAACATGTACTATTTCCGTAAACCACACTGTTACGAAGTAAATCCCCAAGTGTGGAAAGTATGTAACCTATCTAGTGTATACATTGTGGCCCCGAGAATTCGTTCCAGCTCCACCCATCTCTTCTATCATCTGGGAGAATTCTACTGATACAAACAATAAAAACTTATCATGTCCAGGCTCGAGTCCCGACATGAGAGTATTCTATGTGACGGAGAAGACGGTGGCATTGTAAGACGCTGTAAGAACGCCATATAACTCACGGCGATAAAGGTGTGGGTGGTACGAGCTTGTGTTAGAATATATTTTCAGACTATGAGGCTCTGTAGCAACTGAACGTGAATCCGGGCCATCGGAAGGTTTGAATCACCAACTATCTTTCTATGCCTATCTAGCTGATAGC